AGAAGAGAAGAGAAGAGGAGAGGAGAGGAGAGGAGAGGAGAGGAGAGGAGACAAGAGAAGAGAAGTTTGTCGTGCTCTGGCTGGTGGCCTCTCACTCATGTGTAAATGTATAGCACAAATTGAACTCAACAGACTGAAAAAAATAGAGGACATAAAGTTGGAAGAAGGAAGTGGGGCAGGATTCAGGGGACTGGAGAGGGGGTGCATGACTGTAACACACGTCATATACATGTATAAAGTTTTCAAATGATAAATTAAAACTATAAATAAATGATTAGAGTGAAACAGGAAGTGCCCAGTGTCCAAATCTGCCTGCCATGGTATGTACACACATGTGCTCCACTATGCATGCGCGCAAATATGTACAGGATGCATACATTACACACACATGCTCTGTTTTCTTGTCTACTTTTCTTTTCTTGCTCTAGGAGGAACAAACGGGCAACAAGGACACTGTCAGGGTAAAGTGTTAAGTGTTAGGAGTGTTTCTATCAACCCGTGAAGTTCTCTGCCTCTTGGAGAAGTTGGTGTCATATTTATTGTTGAACTGTAACCACACTGGAAACAAGGGACCAGGCGTTCTATGTCCCCAACATCATATCCCATGGAGGGACATCCTGGCCATCCACAAGCTGCCATAAGGTAGGCCTGGCCACCTTGTGTTGGGTATCAGTCAACTTACAGCATAGACTGTGTCTTCTGGGTAGGAAGACTTAAATGGTAACTAAGAAGCCTGACTGTCTAAGTCACAGAATCTAAAACAATATATGCTTTATGTTTTCAAGACTGTAAGTAATTGGTATTGCTTATGAATACAGTGACACAGGTATGTATTAACTGTTACTAAGACTGAATTCAGTGAACGTCCCCTTCCCTGCAAGCATTACCACCAGTAGAAAAGACAGTGTAAATGTACTTTCTTTGGGGCTAGAGAAATGGCTCAGTGATTAAAAGCACATTTTGCTCCTGCAGAGGCCCCAAGCTTTGTCTCAGCATCCATGTGTAGCAGCTCACAAGTGCTTACCACTTCAACTCCAGGGGATCTGATACCCACTTTCTGACCCCATGGATTTCCGAAATTACATGCATATATCCAGACATAGACACACATAAACACACATATCCAAAAACACATAATCAAAATTAAAGCATTTTCAACTGAACTTCCTTCATTTACAAACCATCAAATACCTTTCCTCTATACCTTCTTAGACAAAGAAAGGCACATCTCCCACGATCCTGTGGAAAGATATGTGCCTGTGAAGCACGGAGTCTGTCGCTTTGTGCAGGCAAACAGCAAGCTAACTTTTTGCTTTCTCAGTTCTTGTAACTATGGAGCAACAGCAAGCATCACTGACTGAAATCATTTTCAGGGTCTAGTAATATAGGCAGGGGATGAGTCTGTGCCCCAGAACCTCAGACCCCAGGTGCCCAACGGCCCTCTTCTGACTAAGTAAGTCCTGCACACTTGCTTACATACTGACCCAGCCACATTTTTGGTGTTCTGGAATGTGCTGGAACATACCAAACAACTGATTCCGTTAAGTTGTCAGTTTTTAAGGATATACTGGAACTTACCATACAACTGACTAATTACCAGTGCTAAAATAGAACAGGAAGCTGTCAGGTCATTAATTAATGGAAGTCTGTGCGGGAGTTTGACTAAGTCTATTAGATGTTTATGAGATAATGAAGACCAAACTAGGCATGCAGCATTATGACAAATTGTCCTGCAATTCAGATTTAAAAACAAAAGCAATGTTGAATCTGATTGGATTCAACATTTTCCAGGCTTAGCATGGGAGGCCCTCACAGCTGGGCCTGTGTCCTCACTCTCTCTTGGATAGTGTCCTAACTACTAGCTCTGGCTTGAATGGAAATGACCCCGCTTTAAGATAACATGTGCTTACATCTGGACCTTAGTGCTGACAAGAGACTTTTGGTCCACATTGGAGGAGTTTGAAGAATTTGTTAGCACATGGTTGCTGGTGTTGCACTTCCTCCATAGTTCACGTGGGCCCAGGAGCAATGCAAAACATACTAGTACCGTGGCTACCAATGTTTATCTATGTAAAGAAATATCTGCTGTGCTTTGGCTAGAGTCCAGGCTGGCAACAGGGCAAGAAGCTACTCTTCCTACAAGAACTTGAGACAGGATCTTGCTTGTCTCATGGAACTCAGAAAGAAATAGAGAACCCCACAAATTTTCAGTAAATTACAAGCATGTCCTTGATGAAAGAGCGAGGTCTGAAGGAGCTGAATAAGGGGTGGACTGAGAGAAGCCGTTTTCCTCCTGCAGTGCAGGCATGAACCTGGAAGAAGAGCAGGAGTTAGGCACTTAAAGGGTGTGAAATTTGATGGAAATTCAATGGAAGAGTGTTATGAAGCTGTAATCCTATATCCAGCTTCAAACATAAGGGCTCCCACCTGAGCTGTAAGCAACAGTGCTCCACCTCAGAGCCTTTTATCTATTTCATATCCATAAAATACCCCACAGGCACTGTAAACTTGGTGTTTATCCAAAAGGGGCCTAGAGCAGTCTAGGGGCAAAAGGCACAGAGTGAATTCACTATGACCCATGTAGCATATGCTGTTACACAATGACAGAAAAGGGCAGGGGGGTCCGCTGGAGCTTATGACTCTGTCTGGAGCCCAAGGAACAGCTCATGGAGGACTGGGGTTGACCAGATGGCACTGGATGAAAGGCTTGTTGGTCCCAAAGCAGGGCCATATGGAAAGGAGAAAAGGCAAGAAAAACAGGAAATTTGTGTTTTCTGGCATCTAGGGGTTGCTGTGAGGGACTGTGTGAATACTAGCAGGGTGAAAGTGGGAGGGGGTGGGGTACATATTTATGGTGGAATTGAATAAAGAATAAAGAATCTAAAAAAAAAAGCAAAACTCAAAATTGGTTCATTTAAAATACAAGTAATTTATCTTTAGCTAAGATAGCTATACAAACAGGTGGGGATACTTGAATTACTAAAATCAGAAATGAAATGGGAAACAAAATGACTGGGCTTACAAAAATAAAAAGACTCTAAGGAATATGAAGGGCTCCTGGTCCCTCATGTGCCAACAGAGCATATAATGTAGAGAAAAATATATTCAAATTGAAAACACTGACACAAAAAGAAATAAAAAAATGTAAGTATCCCCCTAAGGTATTAAATCAGTAGCCAGAAGGTCTCTTCAAACAAAGTCCCAGGTCTAGATAACTTTACCAGTGAGTTCCACAAACCCTTAAAAACCAAAAGTATCAATTCTTCCTAAACTCCTACCAAAAAGTTAAAGAAGAAATACTATTCTTGTTCTTTCTTCAGTCTAATATTATATTACTTTGATTTAAAAAAAACAGATGCTATGAGAAAACAATGTACCAGTATCTTATGATGATAGAAAAATCCTCAACCGAGTATTAGGCACATGAATCCCTTGATTATAAAGAAATTGTACGACATAACCAAGTGGGGTTTATATCAAGAAAGCATGTTACTTCATCCTTGAAAATTAACTAATATAATAGGGGCCAGAAGATGGTTTAGCAGGTAAAAGCTTCTTCTTTTAAAACTGATGGCCCGAGTTCAGTCGTTCAGTCCCTGGGATCTACATAGTGGAAGGAGAGACCTAACTCCTGTCAAAGATTACCACCAAGTATGTGTCACAGTAAGCAATGCACACATGCATGCACAAGCACGGGTACACACACACACACACACACACACACACACACACACACACACCAGGAATAACAGGAGAATTCCTTAGACAAAGGGTACATTGTGGACAAATGTAGTATGGATGGTATTAAGGGTAGAGACTGAGGTCTGCTTCCCTCCGCATGGGAGAAAGACAGGGGTGCTTGCTCCTGCCGTGCCCAGCCTATATTCAGCAAAGGAAATTCAGGCAGAAACATGAAGCAAAAGCTCCTGTCAAGTTCATGCATGTCTTCTAAAGAGCCATGTGTTAGAGGCTGTGGAACCCTTGAGAAATGGGCTCTATTGAAGAGTTTGGGGGTCCTGAGGGTCTGTTCTCAAAGGAGACAGAGGGACCATGGTCTGTTCCCTTTTCTCTTTTGCTGCATCACATATTCCCACTGAGAAGTATCACCCGGGCCCAAAGCAGGGGGTTATTAA